CATTATCTACGATAATTAATCTAAAAAAAAGTATTCCGACAAAACTAATTTGAATGGAGAATAATGCATTTATTTTAAACAACCCGTGGGCCGGCGCCACTGAATAAACATCCAAACTATTAGGAAGTCACGTAGGGTCTGACATAGCAGTGTAGAAAAGTAAGTGATACGCCCACTTCAAATCGCAGTATGGTATAATGGACTGCGAAAACAGCCTTAAATACTAAAATTTTTCGAAAATTTATTTTGGATACCTACTTCAGCTTTGTTTATATAAGTTTGAGGTTCTCAGTCAAAATGGTATCTTCAACAATTTATTTTAAATCATTATTTTTATTTGTGGTAATAACTCTTATTTATTAACATACAAACTTAATCCATACTGGTCTTTTAAAACCTCTAAATATGTAGCTTTTATTATCTAGATAACAAATTCTTTAATTAGTTGAAACTTCTTGGTTGCTTTAGAAAACTTCATTGAAACATCTCCATGTATCCGATATTACGGTAAACTAATGTGAAATAATCTATTCAGCAACTTTATCTCAACTAAAGATATTCCGCGAGAACTTACGGTTTGCGAGAAAACTTTTAATAACTTCGAAAAATAGTTTTCTATGTTTAAATCCTCGCAAAAAAATATTTAAATCAAGAAAGAACTAATATATACCATATATTTTTTTAATGTTGATATTGTTAACATTAAATATATATATATTGAGATAATATTAAATATCGGAGAAAGGAAGGTAATCAAAAATATTTAGAAACCTAGAATGAACTTGAATGGCGATTAAAGAAGTAATTTATAAGTTCTATACTAGAGAATAGAGAGTATTTATATGAGGGGTGTCCTTAAGAAATTATTCATAACAATTGTTTCAAAAGTTTTTATTTTGCAATGACTGCTTATTTTAATAGTTAATGAAATTATAAATATATATGTTTATGCCATCTATATAGGCAACCAAAGATAAACTAGTATCTTCAAATTTTGTGAAAAAAGTGATATGGGGACAGTGAGTTTAGGTGAAACTGAATAGAAAGTGGACATTTTGAATAATAAACTACACGGATTAAATAGTGTTATATACTAATATTAAGATGTTTAATTTATATATAAGTTTATATTTGATCTGAAAAGCCTAAATTTCCATAAAATTCTCAATAGAAAAGTAAAGAATTATCTAGAAGTTAAAAGTCAGAAGTCAATAGAAAGATATTAACTTCTTTTCATAGGAGAATATTCGCGAATATTGAAATATTTGCAATAATAAAGATTCTAACTTTCTTCATTCGAGAATATTCGTGAACATTGAAATATCTATAAATACGCTGTCACTTGAAGCGCAAGAGAGTATTAAGTATTAAAGTATTAGAGTATTAAGATAGTATTAAATATATAGTATCAGAGTATTAGGTCGAGATTAAAAATTATATTATGGAGATTGGAGATTAGAAGAGACAAAAAGATTATTAGTAAGAAGATTAAGTATTGAAAAGTACAAACGTAACAATTCATTTTTGAAAGGGGTCAAGTTTTTGTTAAATAAAAGAAAGAAAGAAAAAATAGAAAAAAAAGCAAGAAATAATAAGAAAAAAAATATTTTGAAATGATGGAATCTGCTAAATTGAAACATTGTGGTCTATGTTGGGAAAAGCGATTTTCATAAAAAGAAGGATAACCAGAGGCTGACAACGGAGACATTAAGTGGCGATTATAAAACCCTTAGTTTGGTAAAACAATTTCATTTAGGCATCAGTTGACCAGAAAGGTACCAAATTGTGTTAGTATAAATTAATTCATTGTAATAAGAATTTCATTTTAAATGATAGGTTGTTTTAAATTTATATTTAAATATTGTCTAAATTAGATGCGCACAACTTATTGAACGTCAGGGCTTGGAGACGATTGGCGCGGGATCGCCATTTTGGAGGCAGAAGTTTCAGGAGGCCAAGGCTCAATTTGGGCTGTAGCGCCATTGGAAGAAGAAGAAGAAGAAAATTAGATTATATATGTGTGTTTCCTAATAATTATAATAAAGATAATTTTAAAAGTGCTTACAAACTAAGTCTTTGAGGACCGCGACAAAAACCCTATATATATATATTATATATATATATATTATATATATATATATATATATATGTGTGTGTGTGTGTGTTATTTAAAATACTCATTTCTCATAAAACAATGCACAAACAAAATATCATAGCAATTTGGCGTCCATCGTGTGGCTCTCTATTAAAAGAATTAGTTTGAAAAGATAAGTGCTCTCATATAATTAAATTATTTTTCATTAGAAAGCAAAAAATTATAGATTTTATTTTAATTATGTTTGAACAAGTAAAGTCTCAAATGTCTCAAGGAAAGAAAGGTATAAAAAGCAAAATAATGAAGAAGATGTGGAAGTAGAAACACAAGCTGTACAAGAGGAGAGTTGAGTTCACGAGATACTGTAGAAATAAATCAAGAAAGAGGGGAAAATGTCAATATGGCAGCTTTGATGTCATTAATGATGCAGATGAACAAGACAATGGAAAGGAATTCGAAAAAAATGGAACAGAAATTGGAAGAGAATTCAAAAGAATTGAGGAAGACATAAAAAAATGGAAGAGATTCGAAAGGGAATTATAGAAAATTAGAAAAGAAAAATAGAAGATAATAATAATAAAATTGTAAACAAATATAAAATCAAATAGATAAAAAAACTTGATGCTGCAGAGAACCAAAATAGCAAATGAAATAAAAATATACGGCATGACTACAAGAAAAGGATAGAAAATGAGAGGACAGAAGTAAATAAAATTATTCAAGAATTTACCCTAAACAAGGTACCCTAAGCAGGTACTAGTTTCCGGGTCAGGAAACTCCTGGAATCTGTGGGGACAGGGACTAATTTACTTTCCCTGGTAGGACTGTCCACGTCAAAAATTGTTTCGATCTGTATTAATCTATATTTTGTTTACAATTGGTAACCCTATTAACTAATAAGGTTACTAATAGAGAGTATCAAGTAGAATTTTATCCTTCCGTTATTTTGACATGTAAACGCTATTTTTTACGGTATAAAGTTTTTACGGATATGTAATTTTAGAGTTATCAAATAGTCGAATGGTGCTTCACGTTAATAGTTGGAGCTGTCAGTTAAATATCGTATGTGACAGCAAAATAAATAATTTTTTTTGTTTTCTTTCATTCAAGGTATATATTTTGTCTGGTTTTGTACATTTTGGGTTTCAAATGTTTTTCTACAGAATATGAAAGACATTTTAGAATATGCAATATTAGTTGAAGCAAACGGCGAAGTTATAGAAGATTTAATACTAAATCATATTTAAATGATAACATACAAAATGTACATTCGGATTCAATTTGGATAGCTTAGAGCCTGAGCAAGCCAAATAATATTTTCGGTTTGAAAAACAAAACATTTCAGAGAGTTGACTCCTCGCACTTCTTATTACTAGTAAAAGGTCAGCCTTTTGGTCGTTTTCACTATTTCCGTGTTCATAATTGATAAATATACTGAAATAAATAAAATGTTTTATTTGTCTCGCAGATGCTTAACCAGGGCTTAACCAAGAAAACAGAAAACACGTGTTACCAATGCACAATGCATAGTGATAAAATTACAGAACATGAACTCGTGTCACGAGTCTTGACGGAATTGGTGCGATTCGCTGCTAACGTTACCGTATATCAAACCCGCTATTCGACGTAACGGTAACGAAACCCGTAAACGTTAAAATCATTTACGTTATTCACCATTTCATATTGCGCATGCTCCGCTGTCAAAATAACGTTACCGTATTCTCACTCTTTCATTTGATAACTCTCTAATATATGAGAGCTAATATCGTAGCGTTAATAATGCGGAAACAGGATACATATTTTCCAAGTTATACATGACTGTAGTTGCGTCATGATGAGATCAACTTTGTCCACGTTTTCAGCGCTGTGTATAACTTGATGCGCGCTATGTGCAACGCGTGAAATGCGCGGTGCTAACGCCACCGACCGCGCTAAGTAACGCTTGCCGTCGGAATAACGCGGGAGTCACCGACTGCAATGTCAAATAATATTGACGGTAGTTCTACTGTAAATAAAAAAGTTACAATATCTGGGACAAGTAATGAGGGGACAGCGATATGAACTGCTAAGGCGATAATACAGGAAAAGATAAGAGGAGGAAGGAGTATGAGAAGAAGGAGAGTGTCATGGTTGAAGAATTTAAGGGACTGGTTTAAATGTAGTTCTATAGAACTCTTCAGAGCAGCAGTAGATAGATTAAAGATAGTGATGATGATATTCAACTTCCGATTGGGAGACTCGGACACTTAAGAAGAAGTTCTACTGTTCAGTGGGGTCGAAGACGCTAAAGTGGCGCTGCTAATGCGACGACACTAGCACTCGTAACGTATGGTCCTAAAGTTTTGGGAAAAATTTCACCTGGTCTGATTGTGAAACAAAATGCATTTAACAAAGAAGGCCATGGAATTGAAATGTCATCAGTTATTGACATTTAATAAACAAAGCAGAATATTTTGGTTTGTGCTCTGCAAAATGTCTTATAAAATTGATATTGTCGAGGTGTTTATAATATGGTTGGGCGAATGTCTAAACGAGATATTGTTAATATTTATCGAGATCAAAACATAAGCAAATCGACAATTTATCGACAATCAGAGAATGTGAAGAAGGGATACCATGAACTGCGTAAAGTGGCCGACGCGGATTTTAACCATATAAGAGAGGCAAGACTGATTGAAGCAGCTAAGAACAAAATTGGGTCTCACAGCGAAAACTGGCCAGAAGATTTCATGTTGGAAAGACTACAGTATACAGGACCCTATCGAGTAACAATATTATCTACCGGAAAAGAAGGAACGCTTCAAAATACCGCTCCAAAATGTTGCCGCGCGTTAAGGCGAGTGCATTTCGTTAACAAGTTGATTGTGATGGACGATGAAAATATTTTACTTTGTCCAACTCTGAGATGAAGAGTAACGATGGGTTTTACACAAACGATTACGAAAATGTACCTGATGAAATAAAATTCAAAAGTAACAAAATTTTGGTATGGTGTGCAATTTCTGAAGCTGGCTTTATCTCACAGCCCTACATTGGTGTTGTTCGAGACGAAGCCTTAAACGCAAATATTTATATTCAAAGTCTCTCTAAATTGCTTCAGTTTGTGAACACACATCATGCAAATGATCAAATAGTCTTTTGGCCAGATCTTCCTTCATGTCATTACGCGAGGATCACAAGGGACTGGTACGAAACTAACAACATTACCTTTGTACCGAAAGCAGACAATCCCCCCAACCTACCTCAGGCTCGTCCAATTGAAGAGTTCTGGGCAATATTAAGTCGAAAAGTCTATAAAAACGGATGGGAAGCACAAATCAGGTACAGTTAAGACGCCCATATACAAAAATAGAGAAATTGACGACGAGGTCGTCCAAAGGATGATGCAACGTGTCAGGGGAATTATTAGGCAAATCGAAAATAATGGTACCTTGTCTGTCATTTGAATTTTGATTTATAATAAGGATAGTTAAGTTAAATTGTTGAATAATTTAATAAAAATATAAGATTATTGTGGTCAAAGTTATATGCTTTTGAAATTTTTCCCAAAACTTTAGAACCATACGTTATAACAGGTACCTAAGAAAATGACCGGAACTACCATTTTTAATAGAATAATTTATTTGACATGGATCTTTTATATTATTAAATTAGAAAAACACATTACATTCACAATTATTGAAAAATTGTTGTCGTAAACTATACATGTATGTATACAATGTTAAAGATAAAGATTACTATGACCGACCCTGTAGTAATAATACATTTTATACCTCTAGCAAGCAAATATAAAGCGGATTTTGCTCCTACATGGCAGAAATTGAGCTTTGGGATTCCGTGGGATGTTTATACCTTCTCTCCTCATAATGTACGGAAATAAATGAAATATCTTCTAGTAAAAGATCTAAGGAATGGAATGCAGAATATCTCATTAAAATGAATTCCTAGGTTCGGTTTTCAAGGTGTTTGAATGTTACTTCTTCACGATTTCTTTCTGGAATTCATGAAAATGGCACGACACCTTTGAAAATCACGTTTTATTAAAACTCATCCTTTAACAGTATATGAATTTGTATAAATATTGTAGATGTGTGACCTAGAGACGTGATTTCCTACATCGTGGAAAAATTCAGAGAATTTAATATTTTTACTTTTCTTTAAGGATAAGGAACTAAAATGACATAAAACCTATTATTATTCCTTTTGGAAAACCACTAAGAGGTTAAAAAGTTTATTGTTGCATAAATCTTCATTAAAAAATGCAGAGGGGGCTAAGAAAAAGCAATTTACAGGTCAATAAATTTGATCTCAATAAATCTATCACAGAAGGTGAAATTAAATTAGTCACTCCAAAAGACGTGGTCAATGAAATTAAAGAAAACATGAGTCACATTCTTCTTCTTCTTCCTTTGCCCTATCCGTTTCGGACGTTGGCTATTAACAAGGCTATTTTGACTTTGTTTACGGCACCTCTGAACAGTTCGGTCGATGTTAGTCCGAACCATTGTCGCAGGTTATGCATCCATGAGTGTCGTCTTCTTCCCGGTCCCCTCCTACTGTCGATTCTTGCTTGGACTATTAACTGTAGTAGCCGGTACTTAGTATGCCTCATGACATGTCCGAAGTACTCAAGCTTCCGTTTCTTTACGATGAAGATTATTTCTTTGCTTTTGCCTATTCTCTGCATTACTTCCACGTTAGTGATGTGGTCTGTCCAGACATCCGAAGAATACGATATATCCACAGCTCAAAGGATTCTAGTTTCTTCAGGGTGGCTTCCGTTGTGGTCCATGCCTCTGCTCCATAGAACAAGACCGGGAAGACATAACACTTGACCAGTCTTAATTTTAGTTCCATTGAGATTTTGCTTGTGAACCACTTTTTCATATTGTTGAACGCGTTTCGCGCTTTTTCAAATCGTGATCTTATTTCTGTTGACTGGTCCCATTTTATGTTGACTGTGTTTCCAAGGTATGTGTATGTCTCCACTTGTTCTATTTTTCGGTTGTTTAATGTCAATTGCATCGGAGGTTGTCATAATTGAGTCACATTAAAGCACCTAATTTGATTTTAACAACCCGTAATATCCTTAAATAACTTGCTTTGAAGGTCATAGTCAAACTGACATATTATATTCTTAATGTCTCGTGTAGATTAAGGAATGTCACAAAAATATGGAAAGTAGTCAAGGTTATAGTGCTTCTTAAATCCAGAAAAAAAAACTAAATAGGGTAAGAAAGTGTACCTCTGGACATTTCACAAAATGTTACTTTTGGATTTTACTAAAAAAAAAATCTTTTTGTGCAACTTTACCTTTTGGACTGGTAAACTGTTTGATAATGTGCAAATAAAATAATAATAATATATATATATATATATATATATATATATATATTATTTATTATATATATAGTAAACTCTTAAATATTGGGGAAATCTGCAAGAAAAACTATAATGAGTATCAATTGTTTCGCCGAACGTTTTCGCCAAAGAGAATTAATTTGGCTTCTTCAGGGTGAAGAGAATAATTATAATTAGCTACCATATATTATCTATTAAAAAACATTGTTTATCTTACCGTAACTTTAGAATTGTCGAGTTAGGATGTTAAAAAACTTAGCTAGTAACAATATAGTGGTGTTTTTTGTTACTATGTGCAAAAAAGTTTTTTTTAACGTTGGAAATGTAATCAAGGTTAATCGAAAAACCCAATGTAACTACATTTAAAAGGAAGTAATTCTTTGAATTGTCGGCAATAACTAAATTTTTGATTGTTATAAAGTTTAAATGTGAGGTTCTGTTTTTTC